ACAGTCCATCAGTGGGACAGGGGATTGTATGTATCTTGCTTGATTGTTCTACCCCTGTTCCCACTCTCCCTACCCCCCGTGTTCTGTGATTACCGAGACTTCTCAAGTACCGCATCAACTCAGACTGATGTCGACAAAACAGGACACCGGGGCACTGCTACGACGCAGTGCCTGAATCGCAGTTCGTGCCCGCCCTGCAGTACCTCCAAGACCGAAGAAACTCAGCAGACGGACGATTCCAGCAGCATCAAGTACAGCATTGACGGTACAAGACGCCACCGGAGATCATCCCACATACCCAGTCCGGGGAGCCAATGAGCCCGCGGCTGATTATCGTGGGCGACTACTGGCATTTTCAGAGGCTGTAGCTGCCGTCGAGGCCCGGAAAGAGTTAGCAGAGGCAGAACGTCAGCGGCTAGCCAATGAAGCGGCAGCCGAAGCTCAGCGAACGACTGAGACTGACGCAGCGACACGAGACAGACGGAATGCCAGCAGCACGGAGTCCTTGATTGCTTGTGAGCATCAGTGGACGACGGTACTCCAAGACATGATCTTTGTACCTACAGAAGCGCAGGCAGACCCGACACCGGCGGAGGCAGAGAGAAGTAACCTGGCTAACTTGCTGTTGGGCATGATGAGAGGTATTATGTGGAATAATACACTGCTGCAGTCACATCTGCGCGCGGACGTAACGCAGCGACAAACATACAAGAATGATATGACTACGTTAACCACTGCCATCCGCACAGAGGCAATGCAGCAGCAGCAACAACATCAACTGTTGAATTCCACTGTCACACGCATCAGCAGCATAGAGGCTAACGCCTCAGCAGCGCCAGGCTGCACGACAGACGTGACGAAGCAACTCAATGAGCGCATCGATCACGTCGTCACCATCATCAGCGACATAAGTACGTTCACTGGACCAGACTCGATCAGCAGCACGGTGGCCGCCATCAAGACGGACCTCACCAAACTACAGACGAGACCGGAAGCAGCTACAAAGACRTTCAAGATGCCGCACTTCGACATCARCAAGTTCGACGACTACAACAAGTCGRACGCCTTGTCATGGTGGCAACGCTTCCTCACGGAAGCATCATGCCGCATGGTCCCGGCGGAYGACATGTTGAAGGCAMTATATCTRCAGCTGATTGGAGGAGAGCAGGGATGGATGAACCACCTAGCGGCTACACACAAGTGCACTATCGCCGAACTCCACACGCACATTACGTGGAAGGAGTTCGAGCAGCTATGGTTCACCCAGTTCATGGTCCGCAACGTTGTGAAGGCGGCCATGAATGAGGTGTACACATGCTCTCAAGGGAACATACCGACTCGAGACTGGACAACGAAGTGGCAAAAGATAGTGATCACAACAGGTTTCGATTTGACATTTCCAAATCAACGATCGGAGTTCTTCTCGCGATCGTGCGCGGGATTGCGGTCGGCACTCGGTAATGAGTACGACTATACCACATTCCAGACCATTCTCGATCGAGCGAACTTGGTCATCCAAACGGACGACAAGGCCGCTAACGAGAGACAATCCCAGCCGCACTATGTGGCTAAGCA